GACTGCATCAAGGATTGGTTCTGAGCCCCTTCTTGTTTTCTCTGGTAATGGACCAACTAACAGATTATGTCAGGCAGGAATTACCATGGACTATGATTAGGGGTGCACCGATTGCAGTTTTCTGGCCAATCACTGATCACTGATTTCTAAAAAGTCTAACCTGCCGATTCCGATTTTGGCTGATACCGATTTTGTTTTATAAGAGACACTGTCAGGTGTTATAAGGTCACAATGAACCATCAGTTTTCCAATCTTATTTTATTGAAAAACATACCCTTGAACAATATCCTAGAAACAATACAAACTGGTTTTAACTGGCCATGAGGTAGTGCTCTGAAATATAAATGAAGTTTAGACAATTGTTGTTGAAACTAAAAAAAATTGGTAAAATCGTTTTCCCATGCAAGTATCGGCGGATTTCCAATTTCCTAAAATTAAGGAAATCGTCACCGATAAATCGGCCGGCCGATTTATCGATGCACATCTTACTATGATGTTTTCAGATGACATTATGATCTGTGGTGATAACATGGAAAAGGTGGAAGAGAACTTAAACAGGTAGAAGAAAAGGAATCAAATGGAATGGAATATAAGTCAGCTGTAGCAGAACAGAGTACATGTGTGTGAATGCGAGGGAAGCAGGTGGAACAGTGAGGCTACAAGGATCAGAAGTCACAAATGTGCAGGACTTCAAGTACTTGTGGTCAACTGTTCAGTAAAATGGGAAAGGTAAAGAGGTGAAAAGAAAGTCCAGGCATGATGAAGTTGCTGGAGAAAAGTTTCAGGAGTCATTTACAACAAAAGGGTGGCAGCAGAGGTCAATCAATGCAATGGTGAGACCAGGACCAACTATGTGGGTCTCACCACACTGTGGATACTGAGCTAATCAGAGGTACAGCACATGTTGACCAACTGGGATATAAAGCTCAAGAGACCAGCCTGAAATGGTTTGGACATGTCCAGAGGAGGGACAGTGGGTATATTAATAGAAGGATGTCAGAACTGCTGTTACCAAAAAAAAAAAAGACAAAGAGAAAGGCTAAAGAGGAGAAACTGTATCTGGATACAGTTAGAGAGGTCATGGTGGTAGTTGGAGTGAGGACAGAGGATGCAGAGGACAGAGATAGAGGGGGATAACTTGGTGTGCCAAGCCCTGAAAAGGGAAAAGCCGAACGAAGAAATAACACTTTTTCATTGTCTATAGATTTTAATTTGACTGAGTTCAGCTTTGTGTAACAAATGATTTGTAAATTTAAACAATAATGACTGAGTCAAATCGCTATTGTGACTTTCAAAAAGTGGCCTAGGTGTTTGTTCCGCCATAAGATCAATAAAGCAGACTGTATGTTAGATAGGCACTTTGTAAAAGTTTTTATTTTTTCTTTACTTCTCATGGAAACGGACACAAAAATTATGGGCTTAATCTCACATCTGTTTTTCCCCTTCTGGCTTTCCCTAAGTCTTTATGTGCATCTTCCTCTGTATGCTTTTGAATCTAATCACTCCACATTGCTATCAAAACCCTTGTTGAGGAACATGGCACAATAATATTCAGCATAAAATCAATGGCTTGTTTAATTTAAATGGGAAGTAAGTGGGGAGGCAGGGTAATTGCTGAGCGAGGCCCACAAATCAACCCTCCTTGTTATCCCATTTGACGCACCATTAAACATCCTCAGGAATAAACATTATTTTTAGCTCAACTAACAGCCGCTGCCAACTACAAAGCAGATGGAATAATCATTTAAAAAATAATAGTAAAGTAGTATTTACAATTGAAACTATGGATTGGTTGTTTATTTTAATATATTTTAGTGTTTTTGACAACCCTTGTAGATTTTCCTACCTTATAGGAAGAAAAAGAAATGGCATAGGAATTGCATTGGCTTCAATTTGCAATTTCCTTGCAAAATGCTGCTAACTACTTTCTACTATCACTCAGGCAGACACTTCACCTGCTTCCAGGTCTGATCTGATGAGATAACCAATTTTTGTTCCTGTGTTACAATCAGCAAAGTGTAGAAATTGAGACAGTACAGAAATGGTGACATACAGATAAAGGTCTGAGCATAGTGTCTTCTTCTTTTTTGGACTGTTCCCTTTTCAGGTGTTGCCAGAGTGAATCCTCCTCCTCCATCCTGTCCTCTGCATCCTCTGTCCTTACTCCAACTACCTCCATTTTCTCTGAACAAAGTTCGTTAAGTGTGGTATGTTAAAGAAGTGATACACAGAAGCAAAACATGCTATTTTTAATTAGACTTTAATTTTCTTATCTGTTGTATTTTTTAGTCAACGGTAGGTTCTATGACATGATGAGATGGCTAACGCCATCTAATCGGCGGTCCACACAGCTCTCACAGACCTGGAGAGCAGAAATTTTTACATCCGTCTGCTCTTTCTTGATTTCTCCTCGGCCTTCAACATCATCATCCCACAGACCCTGGTGCAGAAGCTCTGCTTTCTTGAACTGAGTCCCGCTCTGGGATTTTGGATTCTTTTGGATTCTGGACTTCCTGACCAACAGACCTCAGACTGTCAGGATCCACAACATCATCTCCTCCTCCATCACCCTCAGCATTAGCTCGCCCCAGGGCTGCGTGCTGAGCCCCCTCCTGTTCACTCTGTTGACTTCTCAGCTAGACACCCAGCTGCCATATAGTGAAGTTTGCAGATGACACAGCAGTAGTGGGACACATCACGAACAATGATGAGTCTAGATACAGAGAGGAGGTGGAACACCTGGTGCTGTGGTGCAGAGACAATAATCTCTGCATCAATGTGAAGAAGACCAATGAGATGGTGGTGGATTTCAGAAAGGACAAGAATCTTCTTTATCCTCTACACATCGGAGGCGCAGTTGTGGAGGTGGTCTCCTGCTACAGGTGCCTGGGGGTGCATATGTCCAGTGACCTAACCTGGAGAGCCAACACTTCCTTTCTGGTCAAGAAGGCCCATCAGCATCTCTACTTCCTCAGGAAGCTGCAGAGAGCTGGACTTAGGAGCTCTGTCCAGAGGGGTTTCTCTCACTGTGTGGTGGAGAGAGTTCTCTGCACCTGCATCTCCGTGTGGCACGGCAGCTGCACTGCTGCTGAGAGGACGGCTCTGCAGAGGGTGGTTAAGGCTGCACAGAAGACTGTGGGGAGCAGCCGTCCCACCACCTCAGACCGCTACAATTCACGATGCAGGGGAAGGGCGCTCCGCATCATGAAGGACTCCACTCATCCTCCACACAGTCTATTACAGCCCCTCCCCTCAAGCAGTCAGCTGAGGAACATTCAGAGCAAGATCACCAGGCTCAGAAACAGTTTTTTCCCTGCAGCTGTCAAACTGCTGAACTCGAGCTGCACTTAATTCAGCTTCATCTTACATTTTTTACTTTTTTCTATATATATATAAAGACACACACACACACACACACACACACACACACATATATA